GCAACGGTTAAGTTATGTTTATCGCAAAATTCTATCAGCCTGTCTCCCCTATCATTTCTATTGCCTAGTCCAAAAGAAGCTGCTGTTGCACTCACTTTACCTTCACTTATTACTGCGTTGAAATTTCCTAAAACTATTAGGTTGTCCTGTCCTTTCACAAAACTGAACACGTCTTCTATATCTGCATAAACTGCTTCTACGTCTTCATCACTGTAAGATGATGTAGGCATGTAGACCTGCACTAATACCGTTCTTACCGGCTTTGAATTTAATTTAACTATCCTATCGCTTTTTTGTAAATAACTTTCTACACTCTGCCCTACTTTCTTACGCATTACAATTCCTACCCCCGAATTACCTTCTACCGATCCTGTATCTATTACTCTAAAGTCCCCACTCCAGAAATCTCCAGCTTTGGGTCAACGGACTTTACTAATACCTACTATGTCTAATTCTAATCTGTTCATCTCTATTCCTCAATTAATTTATGTAGTACATTTTACTCGGGATCATAATGTGGTGGTTTCCCGTTGCCTTCCACATCGGAGTATTGTGCATCAGAGTGCAATACCGATCTTCGTGATCTCTGCCACCCTGAGTACTGAAAGAGCTGCTGCTCTCTTTCAGGGACTTGTCTTAGTCTGGTTTCTCTTTAAGAACCCCTCCATTATGGTTGAGTGTATGGTCCGGCTCCCTAAATCATCAAAACTCGCAAGCCGATCCAGCCACTCTAGTTTGTTCAAGAGTTTCGTCCCAAATAAAATATTATAACTACAGTTAAAACTCATCCAAAGGTTTCAAAACATAGGAGCGTATGTAACAAATACCAAACTGACCACAAGGCTTCTTTAACTTATCTTTAGTGCTTGCCAAAGTGATAAAATACAAAGAAAAAAATGAAATGATTATACAGTATTGAAAGGGACATTTCCCTTTCAAGATTATTTGGCAAATTTATAAACATAATAATTTTCTCTGAAACCAACCATACTTTCAAAAGATTCTCCCTATTGGTAATTACCTTAATAATACCACCTCCAAATAAACTAATCTTGTCTGTGCTGCACTGAAGTTTACTATCAAAATTTCAGAGAAGTTTTTTATGAGTGTTTCATAAATTAACCTGCAATGAGCGTTATTTTACTGTAGCATCCAAACTAAAAAGATTGCAATGGTACACGAAACAGACAAATGACCACGGAAATTAGCTCCAGCCAACTAACAGTCGAAAGCCCAAGCTTCTAACACAAGTAGATTGGTTCTTATTTTACATGTCCCTTTTATGCCGCCTCTCCCCTAACATGAAAACAAAAAAATTCTGTACTGATATGCTATATATATATATATATAAAATATTGTTTTATACGTGATTTTATACTGAATAAAATAATTAAATTACACGTTCTTTCTCAATCAAACAAGAGTGCTTCACACAAATAAAACATTAAACAACAATATAAACACAGTGAACTTAACCAATCAAAATGAGGTTATATCTATGGCTGTTTATACTAAGCTTAACAACTATCCCCAAAGGTAGCAGCACTAACCAGAGGTTACACTTCTTATACCAAGAGAAGCACAAAACGAGCATGGTTTCCGTTGGGATTCATTTTTCGGCTGGGACTCAAGTCTTTTGTTCAACATAGCTTTATGCGTATCGTTCAACCTTGGTCTCGAAGGGTTCTCGGTTTTTTTTTTCTGGAATGTGCCTTCCAATTTTCGGAGTTCGGAATCAGTTCCCTAGCAAGCTTCTCTTGAGAAACATTAGGTAAACCAACTACTATTAGGCTAATGCGAGATATTTCGCTGCCGAAATGAATTATTTTTTTGAGCAAATAGCCTGTTTGGTTTATGATTTAATGTGCTAATAAAACGAGATGAAACATCGTAACAATTATTTTACCAATAAAAGAATTTTATTTCCAAAGTCCATGTTGGAGGGAAAATTCAAGTTTAAACTAGCCTATCCTTGTCCACGCTCCACTTTGTTTCGGCATTCTTGCGATATCTATTGAAAAAATTCAGTGGTCAAAAAACAATAGCTGCAAATTACACACACTTTTACAGCAAACTTCGTTTTTCACTATTCTAGAGAAATCTCGTTTGGTAAAATTCAATAAGCAATAGCTTTAAGCGGGAAATTCAAATAATTACAGGCCCCATCCCCATTTTACGACAATTCCAGAGGGTCTTCAACAAGAGATATGGGGAGCTGTGACCCAGATATGGGGACCCGTCTGCCCCTCTACTGTCGTCATAAGCATGTTGACACTTTTTACTTAGCACAGACTTAAACTCGTGTTCCAAAACATCTAATACGAGACAATGCAAATTTCTCTATTGTATTTAAATAAGATAATCTAAATATGAAGCATATATTTGATAATCAAATTGCTAGAGATGTGTCTTTCAAATAATTTTGTGATATATGTTCGGAATGCTGGAAAGACGACTACGGGTTTTTATGTATTAACAAGAATTGCTCTATAGAAAAAGGTCGATATCGGAAAAATATGGATACATTTATTATACTACAAATAACAGGGTTCATAGACCTAGTATCATTTCAATGAAATACAGTAACCTATTAAGACTTGCTTAAAGCTGTTCAAAATCTGTTCAAAGCTGTTCGGAATCTATTCAAAGCTGCTTGAGACCTATTGAAAGCTCTTCGAGACCTGTTTAAAGCTGTTCGGGATCTATTCAAAGCTGCTTGAGACCTGTTAAAAGCTGTTCGAGACCTGTTCCAGACCTGTTCAAAGCTGTTCGAGACCTATTCAAAGCTGTTTCAGACCTGTTCAAAACTGTTCGAGACCTGTTTAAAGCTGTTCGAGACCTGTTCAAAGCTGTTCTAGACCTGTTCAAAGCGGTTCGAGACCTGTTCGAAGCTGTTCAAGACCTGTTAAAAGCTGTTCGAGACCTGTTCAAGGCTGTTCGGGATCTATTCAATGCTGTTCCAAACTCTTCGTAAGGTTCAATTATGAACGAAAAATCGTTAAAGATATTATAAAAACCCGAAATATAATTCCCGAAAACGTTATTTAAACCAGTAGGAAAATCAAAACGTCCATTAGAAGACCAAACAACACTAACGCCATCACCGTTAAAAAATGAAAAAGTGCAAGATGATCTTGTTGAAGAAACAGTTATAAATATGCCACTTCCAGATGATGATATTAAGGGTTTAGATATTGTTAAATACGATAATGATTATGACACAGGTTCACTATTGAATTGCTCTGAACAAAATAAATTTTTAACTCAATCGAATCCCATGCATGCAACTCTGCAAAATTTCAACAAATCAACGTATTAAAAGATGAAATGAGAGTTAGCATTCGTCATTTAAGTGGGGCCTTATTAAAGCTTCAAAAAGAATACAATGAATTAAAATCAAAGACTTCAGAGAAAAAGTAGAAAACAACTGTTACAAAACCAGCATTAGTAGTTTCTTCATCATCCTCATCATCAACGACAGCAACTTCGTAATCAAAGAGACCCCATAAATTCTATAAATCAATGAATGTTTTATAAAATGAGTAAATATCAACTGGTAAATGAACTACATAAACCTGCTCGTCAAAACTTTAAGAGTCGAACCGTTATTCTAAAATGAATTAATGACCTCTGGCAAGCGGATTTAGTGGAAATGAATAATTACGCTAAGGAAAACGATAGATTTCGTTTTTTACTAACAGTTATTGATGCATTTTCTAAGTTTGCTTGGGCTCTTCCTGTTATAACTAAATCAGGACCCGATGTACCTGAAGCAATGACACAGATTCTAATTACACGCAGACCAAAAAATTTACAAACAGATCTTGGTAAAGAATTTTATAATGTACACTTTCAAGATATAATGTAAAAATATAAAATCAATCATTATTCGACATACACTACTGTTTTGTGCGTAGATTTATTATTGATTTGTCACGCACAGTTCACACGCCGAATTAACTTTGTGTGAATTTATTAAAATTTCAATTGTTTATTAATATGTATTTACAGGAACGATATTATTAAGTTGTTAAAAGATACGTTGTTGAACAGGATCTGATCTTTCTTTTTTACTGTAGGTATAAACTTACAATAAAAATAAGGGTAGAAGTGGTGTAGACAAGTTCCAAGAAGTAGCAAATATAACAGACCCCAATATGAGGGGCAAATTTGAAAGTAGGTACCAGCTGTGTACAATAATAAAATTTACAATGGTTGGATACATGTCATAAATCTTCATTTATTAGGCTGATNAATATTTCTGATTTTAAACATTTCTAAATCCTTAAATGCTGGTGCTTAATTTTATTAGTTAATGATTTAGTTTCAATAACATGGACAAAAATGATTTTAAAATAAAAATTATAATCTAACTTAATAAAGTAATTAACACTGTAGATTTTGAAGTTCGTCTATTACACTGATTTTATTAAAATTAGTCTATTGGCAAGGGACACAAATTCTTTACACTTCTTTTGTAATTACCACTTGCGGTTTTCACGGTCACTACACGCACAATGTTGTCGTCTCCTGGGTGGAGTGCGATAGTAGTAAAGTATGCGGGGTTCTATATCTGGGTCACGGCTCCCCAAATCTAGGCCATGATGCATCCATCAACATTTTACCAATTTTGGATCTTTAGAAGGTCTTTCTAGGTCATTCTTCATCTGAAGAGGTTAGACCATGCCCCTTTTGTCAACAATACCAGAAGCTCTTGTTGAAGACCCTCTGGAATTGTCCTAAAATGAGGGTGGAGCCTGTATTTATTTGAATTTCACGCTTAAAGCTATTGTTTATTGAATTTTATTAAACAAGATGTCGCTAGAATACTGAAAAAACGTCGTTTTCTGTAAAAGTGTGTGTAATTTACAGCTATTGTTTTTTTGTCTATTGAATTATTTCAATAGATGTCGCAAGAATGTCGAAACAAAATGGAGCGTGGACAAGGCTATGCCAGTTTAAACTTGAATTTTCCCTCCAACATGAACTTTGGAAATAAAATTCTTTTATTGGTAAAATAACTGTANGGGTGAGGCCTTTCCATTGCACTGCGGTTGGGCTGACCCCTGCGATTATCCCTAATGTGGATAACTCGGGCGCGTAATTTTTGGTAGTCGGGACTGCGTACGCGCTGTCCCGGTGTAATTTAATCAAAACATAGTTTTATCATTGATATTGGTAAAGTAGTTAACATTGCCGCTTGATGTACTAATTTATTTTAATTTAACAGTAAATTTTAAGAACTGTCCGTGAAGTTCCAAGTTGAACAAGTAAGTTATACATTGAGGCTGATATTTTTTAAATTTTAAATACTCCAAACAGCTAAATTTAGCTTACACGTTCAGTTCCTGTTTTATTTTAATATTCCTACCTCATTTAAAAAAACTCCCAAAAAAAGTGAAAGTGAAAACTGCTGTGATAATAACTAACGATAGTATCAACGTAATTTAATGTCCAATCCGAATTTGAATCTGAATTTTTTATCTTTTCGAAAATTGTTTATGGTTTATGAATAATTGGATGTAAAGTTTTTGATCATCTCTCTCGCAGGTTTCCTCTCAGTTTAAAACTTATGTTTATGTTAGTAAGTAAAATAGGTAGATATTGTATGTTTTATTGTCATACGGATGTTATATTCAAAACATGTTAATGTTTTTAAACCAGCCGTGCCGAGTCAATCAATACGCCGTATTTCAAACGATAACTTAGTTTTGTAATCTATTGCCCTCTATTGAACATTGTTTTATTACCCGTCAAACACAGATGTTTCCAATTAATTTTAATTTTTGACTAAATAGAAGACTGTGTTTAAAAATTCTAATTTTTCCTTTAAAGTTAAAGGGTCAAAATTATAAATTCAGGAAGGAGCAAATATTTATAGAGGTTGTAATAAATATTAAAATGAGTGTACTTTCTGTAAGAGAGCTTTGTTTCAGTAAGTTCTAAGTTGTTCATAAAAATAACTGAAGACCCAGCTGGCCCAGGGCAACATGCCAGACAGTCAAGAAACCAACTGCGTAACGTTTACTCGTTTCATTTTATATTCCTACAGATGGAGCTGTGATTGACAATATTCAACTATCAACTCGCAATATGCTAGTAAAAATACAAAACAGTATGACAAATATTTCTAACATAACTATGTATAAGAGAATTATTATGTTTAATATAATTATTATACTAATTTGGAAAGTATAATTGTTTCTTGGGTAAACAACTTACTTTTTAATAAAATACGTTACAGTCCAACAAAATTTTTGTGTTGGAATTATATGCATTAAATTAATGAGCTATGAGAGCTATTCCATAGTTTTTTTCCAATATTGTCACTCATGATAAGCAGTGGCGAATCCAAGGGAGGGATATGGGGGCTGTAGCCCCCCCGACAGCCGGACTAATTATTTTCGTTGGATATTAGTACGTCACAACATGGTCACAACAAAACATTGTGAATCACTCTCTCGCCTCTCTTTGAAAATCTCGACCGTTTTAGATAGACGTATGCCCGTATGATTTAACGCAATCATCAGGAGCATTTGTTCCTACGCCATCCCTGACGCCTTCAAATTCTTCAAGGATTCTTCGCCCGCACTCAACTACCCAGATTATATTTCCATTTTTCTTTGCTTACCTTTGGCAAATCCTGACTACCATATTTAGAGGAGTTCCTTGGGAGTTTGACCTCGGAATTCAATTACTTTGAATGCATTAATATAAGACCTTTTGAATTACGTTTTACAAATGAAATACTAAAACGTATACCCATTTTTTATTTATAGTAAATTTTAAATTCTGGTTTTCGAAATTACATTATATATATGTAACCTCTGGTTAGTACTGCTACCTTGGGGATAGTTGTTAAGCTTAATATAAATAATCATAGATTTAACTTCATTTTGATTTGGTCAAGTTGACTGTGTTTATGTTATTTTTTAATGTTTTATTTGTGTCAAGAACTCTTGTTTGGTTGAGAAAGAACGTGTAATTTAATTCTTTTATTCAGAATAAAATCACGTATAANAACGCTCGTTCATGAAATTTTGTACACACATTGTCAGGACTTCAGAAAAAGACATCCGTTTATCTACAAAAAAAAAATGCAAAAAGGACGACATGCATTTGAGTATGAAGTCATGGAATTTTAAATGGAAATGAATCGAGTTTGACGATAGATGACTCTGTAATGTACACTCGCAGTGAAATGACAATCATAATATAGAGAGGTAAGAAGTGGTGCACAAGAAAATCATACTTACCTGGCGTAGGGGTTACCGTGATCAACAAGGCGGTTCCCCCAGGGTGAGGCCTTTCCATTGCACTGCGGTTGGGCTGACCCCTGCGATTATCCCTAATGTGGATAACTCGGGCGCGTAATTTTTGGTAGTCGGGACTGCGTACGCGCTGTCCCGGTGTAATTTAGTCAAAACATAGCTTTATCAGTGCTCTTTATGAGCAATATTTATTACCTTAATAATTCCGTAATATATACGTCATAATTATAAATTAATAGATAACGTATGGATACAACACACAACTTACACGAAGAAATTTAAGTTGAAATTTTACTGAAATGAAATATAGAATTCTGCCGACTAAAACAGTAGCCTTCGAGAAACTTAATTTTCTGATCTAAACAAGTAAAAGTTGTAGATTGTGCATATATAGGTTTTTAAAATTTCAAATATGTATAATCTACTCCAAAGAGCTGAACACGTTCTACGGTTCAGTTTATAAGTAGCTATCCGTTATAAAATGTGCACCCAATATTTGCAAGTTGTTTTTTGTTTAGTGTTTAAACAGTTTATTAATGTTTGATTATCTGCATATTTTAAAAATTCTTGGCTTATTTTGATGTAAGTGAAATAAAAATAAACAGTTTGTGGATTGTATCTTACTGGACATTAGTATAGGTATTTGAAGTCAGCTTGAAGCAACGTATCGTAAACTGCTCTTTTACTTGTAAAATATTCATATTTATGTCTGTACTTGTTTAAAAAAACAACATTCAAATCATCTGCTACCAACATGCTGCTAACTTCAGTTACTGATAACTGACAAACACTATTATCTATGGTCAAACACAAACAATACTATTTCTGACAACCTGACAAGAAAAGTGACAATCTGTGACGGTTTAAATTGGTAAATTCATTTAGTATAACATAAAAAATAAAATGAAATCTTGCAGTAATACGAAAGTTACATTTTTGTGAAAGTCGGTTTGCATTTAAATAATGCGAGTTAATGTTACTGTGATTTTCATGGGTAAATATTGTTAACACGTCACAAGTGATGGTCCCATCATTTTTATTGCTGGGACCTTTAGTGTGATACACGAATGAGTTATTTTACAATGCAATCAAATATAAAAACCAAGGAAATGTTTATTTTACGTGCTTTAGAGAAAATTTTAAACGACAAAGAAATAAAAAGATCATATCACTCACAGCTGAAGAGAGCATGTGAAACTGCTTTAGGTAAGGATTTTAATTTATTTTTAATTTCTGTATATTTAATGTTATTTTCCTACACGTCGCTTATATTACAGAAGATATAAAAAAAGAAATTCAAAGACATGAGGGGGCAGAAAGTAAAATTTCTGATGCACTTCCTGTCCCAAAAAACAGCAGTGATAATTTTATTGATACGGAAAAATATTTTCTTCCCTTTGAGTTGGCATGTCAAAGTAAATCTTCACGTATAGTTGTCACTGCTCTTGATTGTCTTCAAAAGCTTATTGCTTATGGACATCTTACGGCAGTGGTGCCTGATTCCACAACTCCAGGAAAGCTGTTAATTGATAGAATAGTTGAAACTATATGTTCCTGTTTTTCTGGTCCACAAACAGATGAAGGTAAGTTAGAAACATATCTTTCTCAATTAATTTCTTGAATATTGAAAAGAAAAACAGAATGTACTGAAAATTCAGGAGTTTTGCAGCTAAACAAAATATTTAATACAACTAATTACAAATTAGAAATTTTTTATTAAAAGTAGTGACAATGTTCTTAAAATTTTATGAATCTTTTCTCTTTTTTGTAATAAAAATAACTTGACTATGATTTTTAATTGGGCAATTTTCAGTAGATTTGAAACTCGGTATTTAATAAGCAGCTTCAGAAAAAGGGGCGTAATTTTTAAGCTTTAAGTATGTGTGAATGTTTACTATTTTTGAACACAAATTTGAAACNTGAAAGTGTGTGTACATAATACTATTTATAAGATGTTACTTAAAAAACTCCTTTTAACAACTTCAATTTTAGGATTTTTTTTTTATTATTAAACATTCAGCATTTTAAAAATTACTTACTACAAATTAGAAATGACGGCACAAAATGTTTACTAGAAATATCCAACACAACCATTCAGTCAATATCAATGAAAACAAGATTACCTACTAAAATTATAAGCAGATATTCACCTAGCTGTAACAGTTAACAGTAAACTTCGTATTCTTGCAATTAATGTCCAAAATTCCAACCAATGAATAAATAGTATTAACATAAATAAATTAAAACACGAACAATTATTATAGACCAAAATAATTAAAAATCTCATCTGCCAATCTTTTTTTGGCAATTTAAAACTTAGAATTTTTTGATAAAAAATTATCTACATAAAGCATACCCACTAACTTATCTAGATTATAAACCAAATTTAACTAAACTTTTCAAAAATTTGCCACAATGTCAACAATCACCCTAACTTGTATGTTTTTTTATTTTGCAGTTTGCAGCTCATATTTCTTCCTATTACCCACTTATGTGTGAAATAGTCTGTTTTGACTTAAAAGCAGAACTACGATCAATATTAAGGAGAGTCTTTCTACGTATTGGTCCAGTATTTCACATAACCCGTACATGAAATTTAGTGAAAAAGTTCAATTTAAACAATTGTTCTTACTAATAAATTAGTTATTTATTTACATATTACTGTTATCCGCATTCTAAAATATAAAATAAATCGTACGTATTTATGAAAATGTAAAGTTTTAGAAAAAGTTTACAGATACAAAGAAATGTAACATTCACATTATAATGAATTTAGTCATTGTTTCGATGATGTGTTAAAGTTTTTCTATTCTGTTGTATAAATCACTTCGACACAACTGTCTGATGTATATATATTGTCTTGCAAAATAAGTATAATGGGCGTAATTTTTAAGCTTTAAGTATGTGTGAATGTTTACTATTTTTGAACACAAATTTGAAACAACAATGAAAACCTGATGATGTATTGAATGAATAATCTTTAGGTTCCTAAACTAATATAAACACAAAAATGAAAATAATGAAATAATTTTAAAATACAAAATCCTATCCAGTATGAAGATTTTAAGTACTACAAATATTACTTCAAATTGTATTTTCCAAAAATAAAAGTTTTTCAATGTTAGTATGAAGGTTTATAATCAGGTGTAAACAGAATAGAAGGATAGATCAATAGCATGCAGATATTTCTGATCATTATGCACTGTTAAGCACAATTAACGTTAGAAAATTAAAATTCAAGAGGCGTAAACGTAAAATTTCAAGGCAACTTATTATACATTAAATTGAATATTAGATCGAATAGTATTATAAAATATATCTAATTTCATTTGAAAATTTTCAATATTCATAGTTTCTAATTAAAGTTACATTGACTTAATGCTATACAAAATATGAAGCAAATTGTCAGTGGTTTATCATCTTATACATGAATTATATGGAAATTATATAAAAGTTTATAATTTTTTGCATTACACTGTTAAAATCATGATTTTATTAATTCTTAGGCGTTCAGCTCCAAATTATCAAAGCGCTTCTGACTGTAGTTACAAGTCAACATGTAGAAGTGCATGAAGGTACGGTGCTTTTAGCAGTCCGAACATGCTATAATATTTTTCTGGCCAGCAAAAACTTAATTAATCAAACAACTGCTCGAGCAACCTTAACGCAAATGTTAAACGTTATTTTCATGAGAATGGAGAATCAAGCGTATGAAACTGAAGTGCAAATGGAGAGTTACATGAATCACATTAACCAAAAAGATTCTGCTAACTTAGAAAAGAACATTAAAAATAGTACCGACGTTATTAAGCAAAATGGCGATGCTACAGAAATTAATTCTGAACAAAGCGTTGGTAGCTTATCAAAAGGAACTGAAGAAACTGTATCTGATAATTGCAGTCCATCCAGCTTGAGTGTAGCTGCTGATATTATTGAAAATATTATCGATAATGTATTATCACTTACAGAAGAGAAAAAAGAGCCTAGTTTGACTTCTTCTCCAATAGAATCAGAAATTCCAGCTGTAACTAGGTAAGTCCCCAGGATATACTTCTTTAGATGTGTAAAATTTTTAAAAACGATTCTTTAAGCCCTTTTGCAAAAAAATACATAAATAAATCTTTTCTTATTTATTATTGTTGAAATATCACCTACGTTTTTAGGATGCCATCCCAAGAAAGCGTTAGCGTGGATACCCAAAGTGAAAATGACACTGTTGTGACGGCAAAATTTACTCACATTTTGCAGAAGGACGCCTTCCTAGTATTTCGCGCGTTATGCAAGCTTTCTATGAAGCCTCTGCCTGAAGGCACTCCTGATCCCAAATCGCACGAACTTCGCTCAAAAATCCTTTCGTTGCATTTGCTACTATCAATTTTGCAGAATGCAGGTCCGGTTTTTAGATCAAACGAAATGTTCATTACAGCAATAAAGCAGTATCTTTGCGTGGCCTTATCGAAAAACGGCGTAAGCAACATTCCCGAAGTGTTTGAACTGTCGTTGGCAATATTTCTTGCCTTATTATCAAATTTCAAAATGCATTTGAAAATGCAAATTGAAGTCTTTTTCAAAGAAATATTTCTCAACATTTTAGAAACGACTACATCCTCGTTTGAACACAAATGGATGGTTATACAGGCTTTGACTCGAATATGCGCGGATGCTCAGAGTGTCGTTGATATTTACGTTAATTACGATTGTGACTTGTCTGCAGCTAATTTATTTGAAAGACTTGTAAATGATTTATCAAAAATTGCACAAGGCAGACATGCATTAGAACTAGGCGCATCGCCTAATCAGGAGAAGTCAATGAGAATAAGAGGGTTGGAATGTTTGGTATCTATTCTTAAGTGCATGGTTGAATGGAGTAAAGATTTGTACGTGAATCCGAATTTACAGTCCACAGTTGGAGAACAAACATCTCAGCAAGAGAGTGATTATATGTCTCTCAAGTCTCATGGTGGCTCCAGTACAAGTTTACATTCAAGCAGCAGTTCAGGCGGTAACAGAGAAGTATTGGATTCTCCGGAGCAATTAGAAGTTCTCAAACAACAGAAAGAGGTACTTAATAAAAAATGGGAACTTTTTTTCTGCCAAAAGTTGAAATTTTTGAAAAGTCGTTTTTATTTTATTTTATATATTTCTCAACTTATTTCTCGATTATAATATTCTAAATACACACTATTATCAATGTTAATACGCAAATTCTAGGTTTGGGAAACAGGAATCGATATGTTTAATCGTAAACCTAAAAGAGGGATACTATTTCTACAAGAACAAAGTTTATTAGGTAGCAATTATGTAGATGTTGCTAAGTTTTTGCACAGTGATGAGCGCCTAGATAAAACTTTTATTGGCGACTTTTTGGGAGAAAATGACGACTTTTGTAAGGAAGTCATGTATGCTTATATAGATCTGATGGACTTCTCCAATGTAGATATTGTCGCTGCTTTGAGGCAGTTTTTAGAAGGTTTTAGATTACCTGGAGAAGCGCAAAAGATAGATAGGTAAGTATCCTTGAAAATAAAAGTAAATGTAGTAAACTTATAAAAGTATACATTTAGATTAATGGAAAAGTTTGCTAGTCGTTACTGTGAATGCAATCCTAACAATGGCCTATTTGCCAGTGCCGATACAGCCTACGTTCTAGGTTTTTCAATTATCATGTTAACAACCGATCTTCATTCGCCCCAAGTTAAGAATAAAATGACAAAAGAGCAGTATATCAAACTTAATAGAGGTAACACTGACAGCAAGGACGTCCCAGAAGAATATTTATCGCAGATATACGATGAAATAGCAGGGCATGAAATTAAAATGAAGTCCGTCCCGAACAAACCCGGAAAACAGCAAATCAATAGCGAGAAAAGGCGAAAAATATTGTGGAACATGGAAATGGAAGTAATCTCCACAGCTGCCAAAAACCTAATGGAATCAGTGTCCCATGTTCAAGCACCTTTTACAACAGCAAAACATCTCGAACACGTCAGACCTATGTTCAAAATGGCCTGGACACCATTTTTGGCCGCATTCAGTGTAGGTTTACAAGACTGCGATGATCCTGAAGTGGCTGCACTTTGTTTAGATGGAATTCGATGTGCCATAAGAATCGCATGCATTTTCCACATGACTCTGGAACGAGATGCTTATGTTCAAGCGCTTGCTCGATTCACTCTACTCACAGCTAACTCTCCAATAATGGATATGAAAGCTAAAAATATTGACACTATAAAAACATTAATAACAGTTGCACACACTGATGGTAACTATTTGGGCAGCAGCTGGTTAGATATATTGAAGTGTATTTCACAATTGGAATTAGCGCAATTAATTGGGACTGGAGTTCGTCCACAATTTTTATCAGGTCCTGGTTATAAACCTTCAGATCCAACATCAAAAGAGCACATTGGTCAAACGAGCTCGCAAAGTGTTGTAGTGGCGGTTGATAGAATATTTACCGGTTCCACTCGGTTGGATGGTGATGCCATAGTAGATTTCGTTAAAGCTTTATGCCAAGTATCTATGGATGAACTTGCCTATCCAGGTCATCCCAGAATGTTTTCTTTACAAAAAATTGTTGAAATTTCGTACTACAATATGGGTCGAATTCGTTTACAATGGTCACGAATATGGCAAGTTCTAGGCGAGCATTTCAACGCTGTTGGTTGTAACCAAAATGAAGAAATATGCTTTTTTGCCGTAGACAGTTTGAGACAGCTTTCCATGAAATTTATTGAAAAAGGCGAGTTTGCTAATTTTAGATTCCAGAAAGACTTTTTACGACCATTTGAACACATTATGAAAAAGAATCCTTTAGCAACCATAAGAGATATGGTTGTACGATGTATAGCTCAGATGGTAAATTCACAAGCGGCAAATATAAAGTCGGGTTGGAAAAATATATTTTCGGTATTTCATTTGGCTGCCAGCGATCAAGAAGAAGCAATAGTTGAATTAGCTTTCCAAACTACTGGGAAAATAGTCGTCGAGTTATACGACAGACAATTCCCTTCAATGATTGATTCATTTCAAGATGCCGTCAAGTGTTTATCTGAGTTTGCTTGTAATTCACGTTTTCCCGATCTCAGTATGGAAGCAATTCGACTGGTACGTCATTGTGCTCACTGCATCCACATGTCACCGCAGCTATTTACGGATCATGCAGGAATGGAAATTGACGTGGCGGTAACAGATGAAGATCGTGTTTGGGTCCGAGGATGGTTTCCACTTTTATTCTCTCTCTCGTGCGTTGTAAATAGATGTAAATTAGATGTGAGAACCCGTGCATTAACAGTACTCTTTGAAATAGTCAAAACATATGGCGATACATTCCTATCTCACTGGTGGAAAGATCTTTTCAAGGTGCTATTTCGTATATTTGATAACATGAAATTACCCGAACAGCATTCAGAAAAAGCTGAATGGATGACTACTACATGCAACCACGCTCTATATGCCATAGTGGATGTTTTCACTCAATATTTTGAAATGTTGGGGCCGTTGCTCTTAGAAGAGCTATTTTCCCAGTTGCATTGGTGTGTACAACAAGACAACGAACAGCTTGCCAGATCTGGTACCAACTGTCTTGAGAACTTGGTAAATTCGAATGGTCATAAATTCGACGAATCTACTTGGGATAAGACTTGTCAGTGCGTCCTGGATATTTTCAATTCTACCATTCCTTCGATTTTATTGACTTGGAAACCAGAAATGTTACAAACAACGGCAATTATAGAAAATGGTGGCGTTGGTGTACGCCAAGGAATACTGAAAAGAACAGCATCCCAAGAAATCAATCCAGATACTGTTGCTCTTTTCAGTAGATTACTTATAAAAAGTGCTGTACAGTTGGAGTTGATTCAAACGATTGATAATATCGTTTTTTATCCTGCAACGTCCCGCAAAGAAGATGCTGAAACTTTAGCCCTAGCAGCTGCAGATATGACCGGTAACGTAAACCTCACCGAATTTCAACGAGAAGAACAAGGCATGTACAGAGTCCTGAGTACAAAACATCTCTTACAATTGACCGATTGCCTGTTGCAATCACATCGATTTGCAAAGGTTTTCAATTTGGATCACGAACAACGTAATCTGCTTTGGAAAGCTGGTTTTAAAGGTTCAGTTAAACCAAATCTTCTTAAACAAGAGACACAAAGCTTGGCCTGTTTATTACGAATTCTTTTCAAGATGTACTCTGATGAAAGTAGGAGGGAACATTGGTCCCAGATACAGTCACGGCTGATTGCAGTGTGTCAAGAGGCACTGGAGTACTTTTTACAGCTTCAAAGTGAAGCTCATCGTGATGCATGGACGTCTCTTTTACTTTTAGTTTTGACAAGACTGCTTAAGATGCCAGATGATAGGGTAAGTTTAAAAATTACATTCACTTTACCGATAGATGTTGTCAAAGGGCACCTATGATAAAAGGGCGTCAAATGTAGAACAAAATAATGAAACTTATCATTGAGGTATGTTGACCGTAAGGATACCTGCCACAAAGTTCATTTACCCACAATCATCATCTTCTATTGAGCGGCGGGAGTAGATTGATTTTATATTTTAATTTATTTTTCTTTTTTTTTTTCAATAGTCAAACTTATTTGAACAAAAAAAAATTAAGGTGCTTAGACTATCTTTAAAACCCTTGAAAATCATAAAACTCAAAAATCAGTCTTGCTTTTAATTTTTGAATATAAGAAAATTTTTGGGAATGGTACGCTATACTTAAAATAGTGAGTTTTATATTTTGCAAACGTTTCTATAAACATCTTTATAAAGCAAGTCGTGTTTCATTTTTTTATATACCAATCAACAGATTTTAAATTAATTTAATTGTTATATTTTTTCAAATTGCGGCAGTATATTGATTCTACTGATATGTTTTGCTAATTGATGTATTTCCTATATTGGACAAGGCTATTACTGAGGTTTGCTTGTTATACTGACCATGTCTCTACTTTTGTATAATTAAGTTTTTGAAAGTGTGTGTACATAATACTATTTATAAGATGTTACTTAAAAAACTCCTTTTAACAACTTCAATTTTAGGATTTTTTTTTTATTATTAAACATTCAGCATTTTAAAAATTACTTACTACAAATTAGAAATGACGGCACAAAATGTTTACTAGAAATATCCAACACAACCATTCAGTCAATATCAATGAAAACAAGATTACCTACTAAAATTATAAGCAGATATTCACCTAGCTGTAACAGTTAACAGTAAACTTCGTATTCTTGCAATTAATGTCCAAAATTCCAACCAATGAATAAATAGTATTAACATAAATAAATTAAAACACGAACAATTATTATAGACCAAAATAATTAAAAATCTCATCTGCCAATCTTTTTTTGGCAATTTAAAACTTAGAATTTTTTGATAAAAAATTATCTACATAAAGCATACCCACTAACTTATCTAGATTATAAACCAAATTTAACTAAACTTTTCAAAAATTTGCCACAATGTCAACAATCACCCTAACTTGTATGTTTTTTTATTTTGCAGTTTGCAGCTCATATTTCTTCCTATTACCCACTTATGTGTGAAATAGTCTGTTTTGACTTAAAAGCAGAACTACGATCAATATTAAGGAGAGTCTTTCTACGTATTGGTCCAGTATTTCACATAACCCGTACATGAAATTTAGTGAAAAAGTTCAATTTAAACAATTGTTCTTACTAATAAATTAGTTATTTATTTACATATTACTGTTATCCGCATTCTAAAATATAAAATAAATCGTACGTATTTATGAAAATGTAAAGTTTTAGAAAAAGTTTACAGATACAAAGAAATGTAACATTCACATTATAATGAATTTAGTCATTGTTTCGATGATGTGTTAAAGTTTTTCTATTCTGTTGTATAAATCACTTCGACACAACTGTCTGATGTATATATATTGTCTTGCAAAATAAGTATAATAATAAAGTTATTTTATAAATGAAATATACAGTTTTAACTAGATTTATTTATTCTGAACAAATGAAAAATTATTTATGACTACGCTTATATTTGGATGTTATGACATGGTTTTTTATTTTTGCGGATTTCCTTGAATTTGGAGTCAAAAGGGGCTTTTTCATTCTCTTCTTGTGCCTATCCACAGCAATTATAGACATTTGCTCTTTTTTTGATAACGTAAAAAATATATCGTGAAAATCATAACAAGCTGCAGTTACCTAAAAAATCAGAAATTACGATTAAGTAATATTCTCTAAAGCAAAGTCACTTATATGTATTATAGGTGGGTGCGTGCGTGCATGCTTGCGTGGGTGTGTGTTTCCTGATCGAAATCGCGTGCACAAAAAATGATACCGACTTTGTTGGTGGTGCCGATCAAAACATATTAACGGCAACAGATATAAGTAATTAGATATTTTTATCTAGTACTGGATTGAATATCTGTACTAGCAGTTGGTGATTTGAATCAGTTGCCTCCTATATTGGGAAGTTATTCGTGTGGACCTTAAGGGTCGCACCACGGCTTGTTTAAAATTGGCGTAACCTTTAATTTCGTTAAGCAAGAGTGCACTTTACGGTTTCCGTTTTAGAGTTCTGCACCCAAAGGGTCCCTACAGAAGCTCACTGTTTAAAAATAGATTACAGTTGCTGTATTAAATACAACTTGATTAAACAATATTTTGCTTGCTTCGAATAAAAAGTAGAGCTACAATTTAGCACAGTTTTAAACAAAGAAGCACACTTCCCCATTGCGCTTGAGCTTACGATTTGTCGTTAATAGTTTAAAAAAAATATCTTCTAATATTACCATACAGTTCAACGGATACTTCTTTTTCCTGACAGATTTCCATATGAATTGTGTTCAATATTTTATAGTAGAAATTTAAATAACAAAACACTCACTTGCTGAATCAGACGACGATGCAAATCTATATCTGCTGGTCGGATTCGATTGATAGGCTCCGTATGTAACTCCATAGCACATAGTAATGCATCCTTAATCGTTTGGATAAGTAGCTGGACTCGTTCTGTCTTCATCAATCTACGAATTAAATATCCTCTTGCACCTGCACATATAACGGTGGCCGCATTTTCCTGTAAAAGAAATAATTCGTCATTTTAGGAATTAAAGAAAATATAAATAATATGATGCAAAAGTACCTGGATTGCATATTTTTGTTGTTTATCCATTGCAGCAACTGACAGGCGATTATTGTTAGCCAAATTTTGTTTTCCTAAAAGTTTAACATTATCTAATATGACTGGTGAAATGTCCATATCAAGGATATCCACTTGTTTGTTGCTGATATACTCTGGAGTTCCTTGGACAATATTAGAAGGCACATTGTTTTGATTTTGATCATTTTCACTTAAATCTATAAGAATATCTGTTTTTGGATCTATATTTGAAGTATCAACTGAACATGTATCACTGAAATAAACAGTTTGGCTGCTGAAACTGTTGTCATTTGATCTGACACTATCCAAAAGAGTTTTTTCAGTCGGAGAACATCTATCAGGTACACATTTATGGACATTTAAACTTTGATTGTGCTGATTTTCACAGTTAGTAAAGCTGCTTTCCAAAGAGTCATCTTCAATACTTTTTTCATGATTTTTTAAAGTAACACTGAACTTATTTTTGTCAATTGTTGGTGCAAAAATATTGTCTATCTCACCAAGCAAAGATCCTTTTAACTTTGCATATGACTCCAATCTTTGTTGCTGCTGTTTTTTGTATGTTTCTAATAATTCAACAATTTTATTCTGGTATTGATCATTATTACTTGATTCCTGTTCAGTATTACTACCTTCAAAATATTTTTTTTCTTTCATATGTAGCCTATTCTCATAAGGTATTGATGTAGATATATCAAACATAACTGCAGTTTCATTTCTTAATCCACTGTCTTTATTGGGTAAAGTATTTGAATTATCACAGATTGTGTTGTTTTGTAAAATTTCTTCACAATCACGAGACTTTATTAATAATTTTTCAGATCTTGTGACAGTATCAGATCCTTTATTTGGATTTATTTTATCCATGCAATTTCGAGTACCATTTAAATCACCCAAATTAAAGGCACTAGTCAACTTACCCTTCTTTTGTAAACATTTAATCAGTATGGGACTAGGAGATTCTAATGTATAAGAATTACTTCGTATTAAATGCGGTTTGGGGCTTATTCTTTCAGAAGATTGGTTAGTTTCAGTATAATTAGAATCAGTTGATTTAACATTATCACAGGTAAACAATTCTCTGGGGCCTTGAAAATCTAAGGAATATTTTCTTGTGCAGGCTTTTATTTCTTCAACATCTTTTGAAGGACTTGAACTAATATTATTTGATTGAAAAGCATTATTATTGAAAGATCTGTCCTGTATATTATTTAAAGAAATATCAGCGCAAGTTAAGTTCGATTCTATAGTTCTTGAAGGTACAGGACAATTGGAAGAATAGTATTTATTAATGTAATTTCGTAGAGTTTCTTCACATTTCAATCGTTTTTCAATCTCAATAGCTTCCTTCTTATATTTTTGTAGTTCTTTTGCTTTCTCAAAAGTAACCTGAAACATATAAAATGTATAGAATCTGAAAAATGAGTTACTTAATTGCATACAAATGGTGGAAGTATTGGAATTCCATTTATTTTAATACAAGAAACATAAGTGGCCTTCTTTGTTTTATCTTGAGAAGCACATTTTTGAATCATTTTTGGTAAGAAAAATGAATACAATGGATTTTTCTTAAAAACAATATCCCATTACCAAAACCATATTAATACGACTGATACAGTTAATAAAAATTAAAATTTAACTGATAAAAGTAGTTGAAAAGAGTCATTTATTGTTCGATAATTATTCGTCAAATCAACAAAGATTAACACCAATGGACCAATCAGTGCGATTCTACAATCATAGTCATAGATAATAGACATACAAAGGGTAAAACTGTGACTAGTTATATGTCATAGATATTATTATCTTGACTGGTCATGTTCGTAGATAAAAAATTATAATGTGTATATTGATAGGCTGATACTTCCGATACTTCTAACATATTTTTTCCTTCCGTTACTAGACTGTAGATCATGGAATATTAATGTATACAAATAATGATTTTAGTTTACTGATGCAGTATTGCTCGTTTAAAATGAATAAAAAATATTTTTTTACAATTGCATAAATCAGTTCTTGTAACTCCGTACCTTTTTAATACATTGTTTTTCCATTAATTATTTTTAGTATATTTGTACAGAAAAGTTATATAAATTTAAAATTCCCACTCTTAATCTAGGGAGTAGGGACGTCTTTGACATCAAAAATTTGACATTGTGCATTACGTCAAGATCTTGAAGATACAGTTTACCGTTTTGTGAATTTTATGTTGTAGAAATGTATAAGTGCTTCCAAAGAGGAGTATTCAGTGCGTGAGAAGAGACATATTGTTTCACATAATACATTTGGTTAATAGTTTTGTGTCTATTTATTATTAGTATTTAAGAATATTGTTTAAATATACGACGAAAATACTTTGTAGTAAAGACTTTTAGGTAAGTAAAATAAGCAAAATGGCGTCTTATGGCTTTCATTAAGTTTTTGTAATTTATAAATTAACTATTATTGTTTAAATAAGTTAAAATTGTTTTTGTACAGGGTATTGATATAGGTTATATGAAGAATGGAAGAGAAAAAATCAGCTGTAGTAACCGAAAATGATGCGTACAACGATGAACAGCAGCATCAGCATCAAATGAACCCTTGGATGTATGGCAATTATGGAATGTATAATCAGTATCCCGCTTATTATGGATCTCACCCATATATGCAATACTATCAATATTATTCTCAATTTGGATACAACAATTATGTGTCTTTTAATAGCAAGGATAATGAAAACTTTAATAAAGAAAAACCAGGAGAAAATTTTGAGAAAGATTCAACAAATCCACCTCTACCTCCAGGTCCACCACCTCCCATTTCAGGCATTCAAAATGGTTTCCAGGATACCAACAATAAAGGAAATTTTACACCAAAATTTGGAGTGAAATTTAGTTTCAACAAACGACCTGTTCCTGATAATTTTAATATTCATCAAGGAAATTCACTAACAAGTGGAGCTGCTAAGAAGAAACGAAAAAGAAATAAAAATCAACAAAACATGTTTAATCAAATGAATTCAAATGGTTTTCTAAATAATATACCACCACCTTTACCACCTCCAGAAGCACAGGCACCAAAACCTGCGCCACCACCAGAAACTATGCCTCCTTTACCTCCTGCTCCACCTCCAGATATAAACATACCACCACCACCTTTACCAGCTGAATCTCCTAAACCTGCTGTTAAACCTAAACCAAATGCATTCAACAATCCTACTGATGACTGGCCTGAAGATCTTAAAAATTATGTAAATAACTGTTACAATAAATGTAAAACTGCACTTGACAAAGATCAGGTAGAAATTGTACTGAAAGGAAAAATAACTGCAGCGGCTGCATCAGGTGAATTGTGGGTTAAAGACTGGTCAAAAGAACCATTACCTAGCATTCATAGTGAAAGAATGAATTTAACGTTAAATCCCAAACCTGTTCCTGGGCAATTGGCTCAGTTTCAGACACCACTGAAGAAAAAGGGATTATCTGCAACATTAGGGGCACGTTTGGGTAACCGAACATCAACATTAAGGGGACGTAGTAGGTCATCTTCTAGGTCTTCTCGATCACCGTCTAGGTCACCATATAGAAGAAGATCAAGATCAGGATCTGTTAGTCCTCGACATCGCAAATCAAGCAGGTAATTGTAACCATTAATTTTATTTCAATATTAAATGAAAACGACAATAGAAGTAGTGGTTGAACATCAATAGGTAACTTATCATATTTTCTTCTTATCTTTGGTCTATTAGCAGAATTTAATATAATTTCCTTTGAGTTTCAACTAAATATCTAAGGTTTCTTATTTTATACATTACAACCCTGTCTTCTAATACATTTTCAATAACAACATCGTATTACCCAACTTGACTGTTTTCACATATCTGTAAATTAATAAAAAAGGTATGAGAAAATTTAACGGATCCAAGATTGAGTGACTTGGGCAATATCACAATAGTTATGTTCATTAAACCTTAACTGGTGTATGTACTACTTTTATATAAAAGTTATAAGATTAAAGCATGATTCAAGCTTTTTTAAACCAGCTTCATAATTGATTTAATAGGTTCAAATTCTTTAGTTGACCGTTTAATGAGTCCAAGTCATTGAATACTTTTGAAACAATAATGTCTAAAGAAAATTAAATTTAAAAGCATGACCTTTAATTGCACTTCTTCTAAAGGTTAGAATATGGCATTTTCCAATATTTAACTCATATTTATATAAAGATGACGATAAAACTATCGGATCAGTATCTTTTTGCAATAATATTTGATCAAACATAGAATTGATAATTGAAGTTATTAAGCATCATTTATAGTAAATAATAGGGGATCAAGACTTGAACCCTGTGGAACTCCACTGATACTCATAATCGGATCAGATGAAATTCCACTTATTCAAACAAATAATTCTGTATCAGAAAGGCAGGACTCAATCCACTAAAAATACGAACACTATGGTTAACCTATTACTAGACAACAACTTTGTTAAAATCTAAATAGACTGAATCCACATGTTTATATTTACAAAAAGTGCATTAGTAATCACTATACAATATTAAGTTGGTATTGGTTTACATTTGACAAAGCCATGTTGATCTGTAAGTAGTATAAAACAATGTTGCTGTTTCTCCGCCTACGTCTAAATCACGCATTGGATTTTGTTACGGGTTTTACTATCATTTAGAGAATATCTTTCGGAAGGTTTATACGTATAATACATGCATATAATATAATGGTGTGAATATTAGTTTCTTTGGTAGTACATTATACTTGATATTTTTTTTTCAAATTTGTTCATATAAAAATAGTACTACGTATGGTATGATTTTTACAATACTGGTCCGGGACTTCTTCTTCCGTCTATTTTACAGCGTTCAGGGTGGTGCCTTAGATGGGCGATGTATTTTAGTTTCCGAATTTTAAATGTCCTGGTTATTTCCGGAAGTTTATCTTCGTTGCAGACTATCAACCCAACCATACGTAGTATTCTACAGTGTGATCACAAAAGACCCGTCTACCAAATTATGTTAAATTGCTCTAAATGATATATTTAGATCGATTTATCATCTCTGCATAACAAATTGTTAATATCAGTACATACCTACTATTATGTATGAAAACGATTTTTCCCGAAAAATTGAACTATTTTAAATCGAATTTTCCTTTAAAGAATTGCTACTCGCCGATTTTCTTTTACACTATCAAATTTTTTCGCTTTCTCAAAATAGCTAAATTTTGAATACTCATAATATTAGTAAAGACTAATTATTTAACAAATATATATTATTAAATTTCAGTTCATCAGAGAGTGATGATAATTTCAAGCCTCTAACAAAGTCTCTTAAGAATAAGGGTAAAGGAAAATTAGCCGACAGATTAGGATTAAAGAATAACAAGTTGCATAATAAGCAGATGAAGAAACAGAAGGCAAAGGAGAAGAAAAATATTTTTAGTGCGGATTTTGGCGGAGTGGAAGAAAATTCGGCTGTACTTCAACAACGTGCCGCTAGGTTTTCTATGCAACAAAGTAACAAATATACCGATGATTTATTAACATTGAATAACAGTGTTAACGATAAAAGAAATTCCTTTATTTCATCATTCAGTTCGAAAATTATCGAGGACACTAATGGAGACTTTGACTGGACAGAATTTCACATTGTGGGCACATGTCGTGATATTGAGAAATCGTTTTTGCGACTCACTAAGGCCCCTGAAGCTTGTGAAGTACGTCCAGTTGAAGTCCTTAAATTGTCATTACAGAACGTTAAAGATAAGTGGATTGAGAAGCAAGACTACTATTTTGCTTGTGACCAGTTGAAATCAATTCGACAGGATCTAACAGTAAGTTTTTATTTAGATAAAGAAAATATTAATTTTATAGTAATTACTAGAAATATTGCTCAGCAAATGTATGTATATAATACACACCCCTAATTACTAAAAGTAACTTGAAAAATCGGACACGTGTTTCGCTTATTTTAATTGTGGGAATTATAAACGCGAAATTAAAAATGCTGATATTTTTATTTGTTTTAGGTGCAAGGTGTAAGGGACTCTTTTACTGTAGAAGTGTATGAAACTCATGCACGAATCGCACTAGAAAAAGGTGATCATGAAGAATTCAATCAATGCCAAACCCAATTGAAAATGCTATATTCAGAAGTGGGTGGGGATAACAAAAATGAGTTCACTGCCTATAGGATCCTGTACTATATATTCACAAAAAATACTTTAGGTAAGTTATTACAATAATTATATTCTGTAGTTGATAGTTTATGAATTCTAACAAAAAACAATTTTATCGCTTTAAATAGTGGTTAAACGTTTATAAATCTCATATTATGAAATTGTTGAATTGAGAGTTCAATTTAAAGTAAACAGATTATTGAAAATATGACAACTGACTCGTGATTGTGGTACTGTTTTTTTTATGATTGCCAACACCGACTTAACCTGGCTTAAATCTAAAGTAGAGAGACAGTAAAAACTATTTATTTTGAACATAGTTTGAACGTATACATAATATCTTACTTATTTCTGTTCCCTATATAGTAGAACTTGCTAGAGGATCTAGTTAGGAATACTTTTGGCCGTTTTGCACTGTTCCGCTTAATATATCTTGAATTTTAACTAGACTTCTCCCTGGTATTTCATTTTGCTTGCGACCCACTCTTTGATTGTGGTTTTTGTTAATTTTCTTGATTTTATTGTTTGTAGATCTTTTTGTTATCTTGTTATATAAGTTGATTTTTTTGTTTATGAAAGTGTTTATTCCGCTTATTTCTGATGTGGTCATTTTGCCTTAGTTGGTAAGGTTGTATCTCTCTGTCACACTGTAGTTGAATGTTGCTCTTACTTGAATTCGTTGCAATTTGATGTATAAAGTTATCTTAAAAATTTTTTACAAAAATAATTGTATGGTAAAAGTTATAGATAGACATAACAACTAAAATTAACTATTAGCTAATTACATATAACTAATAAAACGCAATTTCTTTTTAATCTGCAAAAAACATGCGTTAGCCATAGTGATAATTTTAAAAGACCACAATTAGAGTAAACTGAAAATTCCTAGGTGTTCCTTATTACACCTGACTCTTTTTTTACATGGCACATATTCCCTTGAGAAATTCTTGCAGAAAAAAGGTCCAAAAAAAAAAAGAAAAGTTTACTATAGTAAAATTGGGTATCTGAAGGTAGTATAAGATGAATAAAGAATAACAACCATGTAATGAGACATGTTATTTTTAAATTTGGGCCGCGTAACTTTGAATTCGTGTAGAACAAGGTTGGGTGTATGTTGTTCTGGCTATATGACCGTCAGTGATAATAATTGTAAACATAAAAGTATTGTCTAGCAAAGGTTTCATCCTTGCTTACATAGACACTTTTGGAGCTTTTTCGATGTAGATAAATTATCTAAAACAGAAGCATACTTCTCAATTTGATAACCAATAATTTTACATATATAAATGAATTATGAATAATATACCTACTGTAATTAATTTATATTATTGGTATTATAAGCTTTATATTTATTCTTTTTCAGATATAATGACTATAATGAAATCTTTGTCGCATGAAGAGAAAGCTGACGAATCAATTGCATTTACTTTAAAACTCAGGTCAGCTTGGGGTATGGGTAATTTTCATAGGTTTTTTGCGTTGTATTCTAATGCTCCTTTAATGACGGGTTATCTAGTCGATTGGTTTATTGATCGAGAACGAAAATTATATCTTAAAATTTTCATAAAAAGGTACGTATTAACTAACTTATTTTAACATACAAAGACATACGTCTTTACACATATTCGTATACGCGTGTGCGCGCCCACACAACACACACATACCATCTATAACTTAAACGGCTTATATTATGCGATTACATAATATATATAAAAATAATTTAAAAAAATAACGAAAACTGCTAGATATCATAAACTTGGAAAATTTTATTTGAAAACCGTTAGTTAAACTTGATTTTCCTATTACACGATGAAATTGTCTCAAACATGTAGTTCATTTCTGGACCATGGAAAAACTTATATTCTTAATTTCAACGTATAAATTATATAATTAATTATGAAGTTGGAAAAACTAGCATAATCTCTTGCCATGAAACATTATATTAACAGTAAAGGTGAAAATGTGGGTTTTAACATTACCATATGTTGATTGTGATTTACAATTTATAATTCAAAGTTAATGTACATAACGTATGCCTACTTGAAAGACATCTTATCGTTAGTACATTGATCAACTTGTTTTACTACATATTTTGTATTGGGAATTATTAAACTGATGCAATTCAGATTACATATAAATATTGATTTTCCGATTCTGAATTACAAGTAGATCAAAAATATTACTTTGGTTATTGCAAAATTACAATAAATTCAAAATTTTAAATTTTATAGATACTTATATTGTTTAATTTCATTTTGATACAATAAAAATAATAGTACTTACCCAAAATGTACTTCAATATAATTCAATTCTTTTCTGCTATTATTTTAATTGAAAGAATTATTAAACAGCTGTTGAAAGAGTTTGTACGGTACAAGTATTTAAGACAAATACTCGTAAAAATGGAAAAAACAGATACTGGTTTAATATTTTTAATTGACCCATCTTTTTCAGCTGGATAGAAACGTAGGTATTAAATTTTCTTTTTGTTTAATATTGCAACGTGTTTTGTGCACATCTAATCACAATTTAACTGTTTAGCTACCGGCAAAATATTTCTTTGGATGTCGTGGCGCAAGAGTTGGCGTTCAAATCAAGGGAGGACTGTTTAGAATTTATCGAACCTTTTGGACTGACTTTCACCGATGTCAACAGAACTTCAATCGATTGCAAAGCCAGTATGGCTGCTTTATCCAATATATAAATATCTTCATCTTTTTTGTTATTGACTATTGATAACGCAAGTGGCCCAATCGTTCATTTTCTCTAAGCCTAAGTTGTCATTATTTCCTAGTTGACAGTTTTTCCGAATAAGTTCTAAAAAGATACATATTTTTCTACAACTTCTTTTCTTATGTGGTCATGGTATCGAAACGAGATCTGTTACATCAATATTTTTCCACGGATTTCTATCGTTGGTCAGTAGGTGCTTCTCAATTGACGAACAATATTTATTCCTCGTTTGAATCTTACCTGTGGGAATGGAGAACGCTACAAGTGATATATTTATTTTTTTTATAAAGTTTTTCTTAGGTATATTTTACCTCGTTGAACACGAAAAAATACTTCATTAGTTTGTAAGATTTGTTGAACGGATGTATATACTTTGTACATATATAAATTAAATTAAATAAATTATATTCTGNCGTTTGCGTATCGTTGATCCCATAAGAATGCGTCTGTAGGAGTCTCTGTCTATGCCCCACAGCTTGACATCAGTTTTAGCTTTAACAGTTGCTGCTCGTGGTGTACCATAAATAAGTGCCAATTCGCCAAAACTGCCTCCCTCCCCAATTGTCGTTACCAATTCGTTGTTTATGTATACCTAGTAAAAATAAATTACAAATACATTTTTGCGTACATCTTTTTATCCATTATAATTTATAAAAACAATTCAAAGTTAAATTAGGGCTGAGTTTATTTAATATTTATTCTCTAATTTTATTATTAACAAATCATATTTACATAGAAAGAAAATGAATAAGTTTTATTAGCACCCTCATAGAAATTGTATATTAAATGACAGTACTAGAAATAAACATATAAATAGTTTCATTGAAAAATCGATAAAACTATCATTGCTACCTATTTTTTTTTTTATTACGAAGACCTCATATTTGGCCGAACTTCTTCGAGTTCGTTAATACAATTTTTTTGTTAATAACTTAGGTCAGTACTTAGAATCATTCTTAGACAGAAAGGGAAACAAAGCTGTTGTACTGTGTTATGTTTCTCTTCAAGATATCTGCACAAAGTCCCAAGACACGCTCGAATCTGTAAAATAAAAGATACTATTTAGAAGCGTACATGTATTTGAACAGAGACATCTCAGTATTAATATCTACAATGATACGAGAATTGAAACTTACAAAAAAGAATGTATAAGTTTGGCATTAGGGGCTAAAATTAATGAATAATTGTTTAAGTGGGAGACAGACTAAGAATTGGAAATGTCTCCAGCAGTAAATTGGTATTAGCATACCAAAGGGCACCATACTGCATATTGGAACTATTACTACTCTCGATATATACAGTCAAAACCGTTTACTACGACATCGTTTAGAACAACATACCGGTTATATTGACCAATATCATAGGTACCGGCTGAATTGTGTTAGATCGCCTTATAAAAAACATTGGTTTTTACGACATTGCTTATCACGACATATCTCTTTAAGCGACTACATTTAACTGATATTTTCGAAGAATTATATCTGTTAGAACGACCAGCTGTATTGTAAACATTGGAATAGGTAACACTATCCACATCTGGTACAGTAAATGACCATTTATTTCGCAAAAGTAAACTAAAACGTGTCGAGATTAGGGTCTATTGTAAATCTCAGAATATCTACTACTGAAGTTGAGGTGTTTGTTGATGTGGATAATTCTATTGCAATTTGTGCACCAGCTACGAAAGATGATATTGTACAAGATGTTCAAGAGGAAAATGACGAACAGAAGAGACTGAAGAACAATTTACAGTGACAACTTTGAATGATGGTCTTAATGCTGTCAGTGTATCACGAAAAATTGTTCTTTTCAATGAACATTAATTAAAATTCAACAAGAACTATAGGGTGCGTACGCACGACACAAGTGTTTTAAACATTGCATTAAAAACAAAAATATAAAAATATTTTTAAAGAAATAAGTAATGTAGTACTAATTTTTTAAATAATAACAATTACCTTGCTCTGTCCAACTTAACGCACTTAAGCGGTCCATTAGCTACTACAGTTGCTGCTCTTGGTCGGTCAAGAAGTAAAGCGATTTCCCCGAAATAGTCTCCTGGCCCTAGCCTACCCACTTCCATAGGTTCTTCCCCTTCTGCCCGATTTTGCATTACAATTGCTTGACCTTCAACGATTATATAAAAATCGTCGCCAGCTTCGCCTTGTCTTACTATCGTTTCTTTATCTTCAAAACTCACTGGCTCAAGAGCATCGGCCACAGTGAGTCTTTCCCATTTATCCAAATTTTCCAAAATCGAAACTCTTGACAAAAATTCTTCGTACATTTTTCGTTTGCGTATCGTTGATCCCATAAGAATGCGTCTGTAGGAGTCTCTGTCTATGCCCCACAGCTTGACATCAGTTTTAGCTTTAACAGTTGCTGCTCGTGGTGTACCATAAATAAGTGCCAATTCGCCAAAACTGCCTCCCTCCCCAATTGTCGTTACCAATTCGTTGTTTATGTATACCTAGTAAAAATAAATTACAAATACATTTTTGCGTACATAATAATAGGATTTTTAACAATTAACTATAATTTCACAAACAACACAATATAGATACTGTAAGAATTTAGAAAAAACTAATAAAAAATATAAAATGAAACCGTCATACGGTTATTTTATGGTATAGTTATAGTAAATTGCTTATTTTCTGATAGGTTTGTCTTAGAAAAAAATTTGAGGAAGTGGCAGAAAGTGAATAATTTACACATTTCCGTTCTTGATGTGATTATTACTTATAAATTTTCGAGTTATAATAGATCACACATTTTTTTGTAATTTTGAAATAGATGTTATATTCTCTTTTTTTATTCGAAATTGACAAAAATTGTAAAGGGTTTCTTTACACTTCTTTTAATGCTACCAATTACGGTTTTCTTTATGAATTTTATTTATTTAAGGAAACAGTTTCCTGAATTTTCATGAAAACGTTAGAAAATACATCAAAAATATCTAAGAGTAAACATAAAAAGCCCAGACTTCTGCGTAGTTTCGTTTTTGAACAGCGGGGCAACTAAGTTGGTTATTAGCAGTTGCATCAGTTAAACTTATTGTAGGCCAATCAATTGGATCGCAAGTTAACAGTTCTATATGGTAGAGAAGTCGAAAATTAATGTCAAAAAATGTTTATGGCATAATTAGCATATGCTATTTTTATTGTTAAATACAAAACAGTTGCTTTCGCCAATTTTTGTATTTACCGCTACAATTGTTATAAACCCGGCATTTTTCATTTGCAATTCTACTGATTCATTATTATTAGTTCAGTCAAAAAACAACCAAGCAATAAAAATACAATGAAAATAAAAAAAAATAATAAAAAAATAATAAATCAACGTCAAAATGATAAGCCTTTCAGGGATTTTCTGAAAGTTGGCGCCCCTGGTAACAAGAATAATTAACTTTATTAATTTGCTTATTACTTAACAAGCACGTTTAATATGCTTTACAAGCAAGTTAACATCTTTAACTTGCAGATTAATAACTTGTTTGTTAAGCAAGTTGCTAACTTGTTTGTAAAGCATGCTAAACGTGCTTGTTAACCAATTTAAAATGCATACTGATACTTCAGCCTTCAGCGCTTCCATATTGAATACTCAGATGAAGATAGCGCTAATAGGAGTTTTAGTGAAGAGTATTTAATTAGCTCCAAAAAAGGTTCGCATATTTTTTTTCGTAAGACTTGCCGTCACGGAGATTTATTTTAAAAGAACGAAATGCATCACCTTTTAGGGCTGCTAAATAGGGTGAGGGAAACTGCGAGTGCGAAAACTCAATTTATACTCATTACTATATTCCCTGCATATTTGAAAATGAAAAAATTGAAGTTACAAGTCGCAGATCGACATTTGCAGGCGTAATAGCATGTAAGAAGCTACGCCAAACGATCTGAGACTTTCGTTTTCAATATTTCATCGCAGAAAATTTTGATTTGAAGATTTACTCTTAGATTTTTTTAAGTTTGTGCTGAAAAGTTTTCGACATCTTTTCATCTGCTTTAAATTTTTTTTTTGAGAAACATCGAAAAATAGTCATCGAGTAGGTATAATATTATATATAAAAGAAATTATGAGTGCTGTCAGCATATGGCAAAGTAGTATTACGTAGTTAGTAACAGCAATTTATTATGATGAAGTGTACGATGTGTTGCATACCTATTTAGAAGCAATTCCTTTAAATTTATTTTTCAAACAATTTTTAACAGAAAGAAAGTGATTAAACAAATTGTTCATAAAAGTAAATTTCGACCACTCGAAGCAATGATGCTAACAGTTTCGAACTCACAGTAACTGATAGGGGGGAAGAATTCATTTAGATTATGAAGTTAATCATTTGTTGTGTGTATAGTATGTAAGTACCTCGACTTCCCCTTGGTCAATCACATAAAAATTATCACCCTCGTCTCCTTGTTGAATAATAGTTTCGCCTGGCAAACAATTAACGGGAAACATAGCATCGAAAATATCCGACCTTTCGTTTTCATCTAAGTGGGAAAAGAGAACATTTTTGGAAATGGCCTTAGACAGTGCCGCCATCGTTTTATAATCTTTGGGCACAACTTTCTTAACATAGCTAGTGGCATCTTCTTCCGTTACAGGTTCTGCTGAAATGCCACCTCTTCTTCTTACAGGTTGCTGAGTGTGAACCGGCAAAGGAGACAAATCTTCCGTATCTTCTGGAGATTGTGCTTGCTGTTTGGCATCTAAGGCTTGTTCCTGAAAAGAAAGAAAACAAATAAAATGAAGTAAGGGGTAAATAACCATCTATACAATAAATGCTGTCAATTTAGAGGATGTACGTAATATTTCATATTTTTTTTAACATTAACGTGCTTAACAACAAGTTAATCTACCTATGTAAATATAAGTAAGGATCTTCAAGGTCAGCTTTAACATGAATCAATAAATGATCAGAAACGAGTCAATTGAGGTGGTGAGACAGGTGATTAATTAATAATTATCAATTCCCTATATTTATAATTTAATTATTGAAGTGAAACTTTTTTATCGAGGGTAGGAAGAAAATTTACTAGGGTATAAAACCGAATTGTGTAGCGCCACAGCGTCACGCGCCACATGTGACCTCTGGTGGATTTTTAATGGGCTTCAGAACCTAATCTGTTAGTAGCAACTAATAATCCGAAAATTGTCATTTGGACAAATTGTCAGCAGATCGCGCCTAGGCTGTACTGTATACATATATGTATTGCATATATGTTGGTTTTGTTTTGATTTGTAATTCCTAATAAAACTAAACCAATATTCCACATTCGTCCGCTCGAAATAGATTTGTATTTTTCTGGCATGTAGTAATACAATAGTTTAAGCCATTTGTTTTTTTAATACTAGTATAATATACAATCTAAAGAAGTTTCAATTTTTACGAGTGTACGAAAAGCTGCTGAAGGTATTTGTACAAATTTCCCGATATCACGTCAAATTTTTCAACAGATAATGCCGCTCATTGATGATCGCATGTAATAAAATTTTGAATTCTCAATTCGCCTGTATTTGTATAAACATGTATAGAGGAAATGGACAGCAAGGTAAAAGCGTGCACACGTAAATGTCAAATCACCCGCATTGGCGCATTCTACACTTCCTTTGTAGTAAGGCCCTACTTCCTACTAATTCAATTTGAATTTCGCTGAGCCAGTACTTTCTAGTCTAATTATGGAGCAGTTAAGCAATGACGTATCATAATAAGATTTCCTCCTTAATAAAATACATAAAAACCGAAAATTACACGGCGTTGAAACGCGGTTTAAATCTCTAAACGTTTTTATGTGAAATTTTGGATTTTTAGTATTTATTTAGTTATTTTTCACGTTACTCTAATTGATTTTCTTGTTAAATACCGAAAAGGGAATGAAAAATACAAATTTATTTCTATGAGGAAACCATTTTCAAGAAGATATTTTTAGTTTCTACTTAATATACGTTTTTTAACAAGGTAAATGTCTAGATGATGGCCCCCACCTTCGGGGGTGGGTGGGATCGAATAAGGAGGTCTCCCCCACCACTGTATCATAAAAAAGTTCGTGGCGTTCTAACCCTCATAAAAAGTTATGGGGGTTAGATAATGACCACAACCCCCTTCGGGGTGGGGGTAGGGGGGATCGAAAGAGGGTGGTCGTCTGAGTAAAACCCCATAAAAAATTTGCAGCGGTCTCACCCCCATAAAAAGTTAGGGGGGTTGAAAGTTGATTATTTTGACAATTTTCATACACTATAATTCAAATAAAATTCAATAAAATAATTATTTTCAAGTGGGTTGATGTGTGGGATCGATTTCTCAATATTTTTATGTATTTTTCATTGAATATTGTTTAAGAATGACTATATAAATATTTACATGCCTAGAAAAATTGGCATATTTATTGACTTTGTACCCCCATAACTTTTTATGGGGGGTGAGACCGCAACGAACTTTTTATGGTACAGTGGTGGGGGAGACCTCCCCTTTCGATCATTTACACCTTTACCAATAACAATAAAAGATAAAATTATTGAAAGCATGAAGAGTGAATTTTTAAACAAAAAAAAAAATAAATATACCAAATAGCTATGCAAATATATTTTGCATTTATAAACTTAAGTGAACTCAATTGAACTGTTGTTAATAGTCACTTAGCGCACATAAAATTGATTTATAGCCGCCTGCATAAAAACGCCGGCATATTGGATCAGATCAAAGGAGTGACATATGTAGAATATCTTTATACTGTGATTAAAGAGTGGGACATGTGCAGCTTGATAGACGATAATAATTAAATTCAACTAGCAACAGCTATACTTCGTTTACTTTCTGTAGCGATGTGACCTTCAGTTTGACTGGCGCAAAGTAGAAAAGAACAGCACTAGGCCAGAAAAGGAAGGAGACAACTCTCTTAACCGGTTAACGGAAAAATTGACATTTTATCCACTACAATTGCATTGCTCAAATGTGCTGTTATTGGTACCATTTACTACTGAAAATATCAACGAGATGTTTATTTATATTTGAAGACATATTAAAGGCTTTAACGCTTGTTTTCGACTCGCACTACTATTCAAGATTGAACAAAACTTTTGGCAGGTACTGTATGAAAAAGTATGTTGAATGAACTAGAGTCGAGAGTACAATGAGCTTTTCTCTCCCTACCTACCATTTTGCCAGCGCGCATCCAAGACATTGGAAGGGGAACATCGCTAGAGAAAGTATGTGAAGTATAGCAATTGTTGCAAAATTTAATTCAAGGCCGGTACGATAAAGCGCGATTCATATTAGGCTGGATCCACACTATAAGGTCGATCACGGTTCGTTCGCGGTCAGATCTCGGTCCGGTAGAATACTATCAAATGAAAAACAATGTGTGCGTTCATACTATCCGTAACAGTCAAGTTCCGGTCGAATTCCATTCCAGTCGCGATCAGTCTTGAAGAAATTTTACTTGAGGGAGATCGAACTTGTCACGACATGTATCGATAGTATGAATGCTCTTTTGTTCCCAGTTCAGTCAGCTATTACCGTTGAAGAGACAATTGTATAAAATATAATTAATGAACATTTGAAAGATTTTATTAAATTCCTATTGAGTATTTGACAAAAATTATTATTTAAGTTAAGAACTAACGATGTCTAAACCAGAGTGGACTTTTGAAGAAGATAATTTATGCATAAATAATTGAGTTTTAAAATGATATTTACAAGTAGGTAACATAAGAATAATAGTATTAATCGAAAAGTTCAATGACATTTTTCGGTCGCGAATATTATAAGATATTAAATACTTTAAGGTTTATTTTATTATTAATTATGAGCTAAATACATCTGACTTCGATTGTTGACGGAGTCAGATTGTCTAATGCAAACATGATTAGATTTTACCAGACCGAGATCGGGCCGCGAACGAAACCGTGATCGACCTTATAGTGTGGATACAGCCTTATCGAACAAGTCACACTTCAGTCAGAACCTCGGTATTTTTTTCCAACGATATTTTTATCTCACCGTCACTGTACCGTGACTTATGACTATGAGTCGGACTTAAATACAACAAGGTTTTTATGTATGAGCTCAAATGAAATAAACTGACATATAAAAGTTTGTTTGACAAATACTGCTTTGCTTATTTTTTTAAAGTGAAACTTCTTTACGCACGGTAGGGTAAGTTCGTTTCATGCGAGTTGCTATGTAACGAAATTATGCAACGGATGTCCCCCCTCTACTCGGCCACGTAGTCGAGTTCGTAGTGGGGATCGCTTGAGCCGTGAGCGCGCTTCAATGCAACATTCGTTACAGGCAATTCCGGCATGTATAGTGTAGCCCTAAAAAATGTATGAATTTACTGTTCGTTTCAGGAAGTTAGAGATATGCCCCTACCCTTTATCAGGATGCGCCGTAGCATAATTCCAAATTCAATCATATTTGTCTGCGGAGCTCATTTCTCCACCGATTATCGAGCGAGAACTAGACAAAAGTGTACAGTAGTACCTACCATTTGCAAAATTATTTAAACTGCCTCGTTAAAATTAAAGAATATGCTTTATTTAAAAGAATATTTAGCCAAAAATAATAACAAGTGAATTAACTAACGCTCTACACACCTATAAAACTTTTGCTTTGTTTTCTATTGTTAATTTATATACATTTTTGTTTTAAGAAATTGCTAAACATTTTCGTCTAGTACTGTACAGTTCTAGCCGATCTCCTAAGACCGCCCATCGAGAGATCTGCTCATTCAAGCTTGTTCCAACTATTTCTGTCTTGCTCACGCGTAGTGTGTATTCTTTCTATCTTCGCGCAGATTTCTTCAAGGTCACAATTCTAACAAATTGAAATGGACTGTATTTGTATGTGTTTGTGTATGTGTGCCTACACTCTACGGTGTAAAAAACGCCACTGACTAAACTAGACGCATAGTGTACAAATAATACCATTAAACAATTCGTTAACCCCTATCCCGGCATGTTTGTGTGTTTGGAGAAGTTTTACTTCAGCAGCGAGTTGTATAATTACACGTTGTATTTTTTTTTCTGTATGTTGCTTATGTTAATAGAATTAAGCCATTAAACCAAAATCGTAAGTAAACTTATTAATCGTAAATGGAAGATCTGATTCTGGAATCTAACAAAGAAGATACACCCACACGTATCATAAAGTTGTACATTGACCAGAAATAAACGTAACTTAAAATAACTAAATTTTCCATTCCATAATGGCAAAGCATTTGAAAAGACCATTATACATGAATAGGTGACATTTTTTTTCCAGTAACATCCAATTATTACAAACTACAAGTATCATTTAAGGGTTTTAGTGAATATAAAACACAATAATTTTTGTTTTATTAATGTCTCTCTTATTTATAGTACCTACTACCTACAAGTGATTTTTCTTTATTGGAAAAGAAATTATAGCCTTGCATGCCGTCTTTTATTCAGTAATTGCTGCCAGTGGGCGTTCTCTAGACAACTTTACAGTAACAGTCCGAAATGTGTATTCTAGCAATAATTTCGATGTATGTAATGCTAAATTTACAAACTTCTCTTACCTCAATCTACGGCTTTATTTAGCATTTCTTTTAAAACATCAAAAACAACTTATCCACAACTTCTTGGTCATTTTGTCATTTTAAAAGTTGCAGAAAAATGTCCCTATGACTCAGCAATTTAACTTTATTAAATCACCCTTATAAAACCCACTGCAAATGGTTGATTAAAAAAATGGGCTG